CTTGTGTGCCCGCCCAACAACCGTTCATAGCAACTTTCATTTCCACCGGCTCGTCTTTCTCTCTACCATTTCCTCTCCCTCCTTCTCTTCCTCGACGTCCTGAGACTGGACCGTCGCCGCAGTCCCTCCAACTAGCTGGCGACGCCTTCCACGCGTCTGACACCGTGAGCGTCGTTCTCCACCTCGATCGCGCGTAGCCCCCATCCTCCGCTTCGACCGCTGCCGCCGTCCTCCACCTCGACCGCCACCTCAACCGCCACGCTCGACCGCCGCCCTCGACCGCCATCACGTCAGCGGCTGGAAAAGCAGCCAATGATATAATCAATCTCGGTGTTTAAATTACGCTCTAGGGTATAGAATTTGCATCTTATGAATTTGTAGATTAACTAGTTGTATAACATATAAGAATTTTCAGTACCAAATAATTGCTAAATATGACAAGTGGCAATGATGTTTGAATTTTCTTACATATGAGAAGTGCATGGGCTTCATTTTGTTGACAAGGATTTGAAAAAGAGTGAAAAAGAGTTTGCGAAACGTTGATTCATTTCCGTTTCGTCAAATTTCTGTTGCTCCATACATCAACTTTGTAAGCAAAGTTAATACCGAATTTCAATTGCTATGACAATATTGTTTAGCTTTGTAAGCAAAGTTGATTCCGAATTTACATATGGCAAGTGCATGTGTTTTCAAATTGAGTGCCAACGTTTTGATGAAACGTTGATTAACTTCTGTTTCATCAATTTTCTGGTACTCAAAATATATCCAATAGTCAATAAAGTTCATGCCGAATCTACATATGACAAGTGCATGGGTTTTGAAAATGAGTGCCAATGTTTTGATGAAACATTGATTAACTTCTGTTTCATCAAGCTTCTAGTACTCAAAAAATATGTTCAATAGTTAGCAAAGTTCATGCCAAATTTACATATGACAAGTGCATGGGTTATGAAAATGAGTGCCAACGTCTTGATGAAGCGTTGATTAACTTCCGTTACATCAAATTTGTGGTACTCAAAATATGCTCAATATTCAACAAAGGTCATGCCAAATTTTATTAAGCCCTTCTTAGTCACTGCCTCCTCTCAGAATTACAATTAATAAGTGCTTCATAATTATTATTAGGAATCATTAGGCATCACATCTACCATATCTGCAAATGTCCATGTATGGACAGTGTGGATACTACAGTAGATTTCGGACTCTTCTTGACGATAGGATTTCAAAAATGAGTGGTAACATTCTTTAACCTCAACTAGTATTCTAGTCAAACCATTTGTATAATTATTGTACTGACTTTATTGTTAATGATGACCTGCTGCATAGTGTATCCCATGCAACATAAGGGTTGACTTCAACATTTATGCGGTAACGTTATGTACTTTGACGATGATATGGGGCGCACTTTCGAACTAGATGTGCGTAAACGGAAGGACAAAACCAACATATATTCCGATGGATGGAAGCAGTACATTGCACTGAATAATTTCATCGAAGGTGAGTAGATATCCTTTTCCCTGAATGGACAGGTCAACAGGTTTAGGACAATGTATTTTTGCAACGATGACGATGACCAGGATCGTGATGACAGCCCTGACCACCAGGATGATGAAGACAGCCAAGATGACGAGGGCAACCGTGAAGATGAGGACAAATCAAATTACGATGACAACCAAAATGACGAGGATGAGCAAGATGACGAGGGTAGCCATGAAGATGAGGACAAATCGAATGATGATGATAGACAGAATGACGAGAATGAGGAAGCTTACTCTGAATGAGACCCTGATTGTTACGGTGATTTTACCATCGAGTGTGGCCTTCGTTTGGAAGCCCTTTCTGCACCGTTTAACTAAAACCAATGTCATAAAAAATGTCATGGTGGGATGTTTTGTATTCTTTCAACTTTTTTGTGCATAACCAAGCAAGGTGAGATGTCTAACATTGTGCATCAAACTGAGCACCCGACCACGATAACTAGTGTAGGTTTCCAGGCACCGCACGCCACTGCAATGTCATACACTTGTGGCGAGCACTAGAGACGTCCCGTCACTGCTGAATTAAGCAAGGAAGTCCCCTGAGGATTTTCCTGTGGTGAGCACTTAACTCGGCCTGCCACAGCTACTCCTGTAACTGTGGTGGCTGGCTTTTGGTACCCACCACTACTTCTTTTCAAAAATAGTTGTGGCGGGTAACAAGGGGAACCCACCACTTATTAGAGTTTACCTATAAGCCCTTTTCCAGTAGTGGGGAGGAGGCCTTGATGCCTGCCGTGGTAGCACGGGCTAGCAGGCACGCTCGACTCCGCGCACGACCACACCTTGACGGTTGTTGCGGACCCCAGAGAGGAGCGTCCTGGTGCTCATCGGTGAAGAGGAGCGCGTGAGTGGAGGCCGCATCGACACACTGTCCCCGCCTGCGGTGGGGCCTATAGATCAGGGCGGGGATGGATGGATTCAGAGGATGGCTTGCCAAAGGATGGCGGCGGAGACATCATTCTGCACAACAAGGGAGAAGAGGGATGAGAGGGGGCGGTGAGCAGAATAATACAAAGAAGAGCAGCACGGGGCAGTTGTGAATGAACCTACTGGCGCTCGGCGGTCGCCGAAGGCACGGCAGATGTGGCGGGGTCGCATTGGATCGAGCCCCTGCCCAGGCTCCTTCTTGTGCTTGCTGGTGAGATGGGGAATGGGTGTGGCAGACTAGTGGTGCAGGGTGGGCGGAGAAGAGCGTTCGGGCGGCTTCTCCCTTGTCACGAACGAGCACTGGGATGACGTGGCCAGACAAGAGTGTAAGATGCGTGCGTTTTGATCCAATGACAACTAGCACGTTTGGGGCAAGATGGCAAAACATGGAACGTTCGGGACTCGTTGATTCCGAACTTAGAGGGTGTTTGTTTCTAGAAACTTTTTGGTTTAGGGACTTAAAAAAGTCCCTATAAGTCCCATCTAAAACAAACATGAGGGACTTATAGCGACTTAAAGTGGGCATTTGGGACTTATGAAATAAGAATCTCAAGGAGAGTCTTATAGGGACTTATAGTTGTAATATGGTCTTTTAGTCCATGTTAAGTCCCAGGAACCAAACAGGTAGGGACTTTTTAGGGACTTGAGACTTATAAGTTGTGACTGGAAAAAAGTCCTAGGAATTATGAACCAAACAGGGCCTTAATTGGTCCAACAAAAGGAA